AATCTAATTTTGAGCTTTGCTGGTTTGTGATACCTACATTCAATTTAGAAGAAGGGTATATTAATCGCCGGAGGTTTTCCGAAATCATTTCGGTATACTATGATGAAGTTGACCGGCTGTGATTTTCTGGAACCGGATTTTCCAGAAACGGGAGAGATACCTTGAATCATCCAAACAAGTTTTGCTACACTGAATTCTGAAGAAGGTAATTCATTTATCTTTGGGGATTTATGCAGAATTTGTTTGGGGCTCTCAGCTCTCATCAAGTTGAATAGGTAGGTACCTTATACATTTTCGAACCCATTTTTGGTGACCAACTTCACGGTGGCCCAATTATATACAATCATCAAATAAATCTTCCCTATAGATAAAAAAGCACGTCTTTACAGGGGCTACACATCTGATTCCACTGTCACCGAATTCATTAAAAAATAAAAAAATCTGTGAAAAACATTTCCGATTGGAAGACTTCACAAAATCTTCCAAAGAAAGGCTCATTAAAGGCGCAGTGGTAGAATCCAAATTAACCGGATAAAATAGTAAATTGGTAAATACATCAATATGAAAGGAACGGTATTTTGTGAATTTTATCACCTTTTTGTGAAATTGATATCGGTTGTTGTAAAATAAGTATTTTCAAATGACTTTGGACACATTTAATTATATTGAGAATCAAATAAACAAATATAGAAAACGAGCTCCTGGGTATGGCTGTAGCATGTGCAAAACCAAATTTTAATCCTGATGTTAGTTTTGCTTTTATTTAAATGTAATTGTATGACATTTCATTTAATTGCTTCCATAAATATGAAAGTTGGCACTGCGCATGCGCAAAACCAAATTTTGAAACTGGCGTTAAATTTGCTTTTATTCCAAGTGCCCATGTATCAAATTTCATTTAAATACCTTCATAAATAAAAAGTTTGCAATTCAGTTTATAAATGGTCGAGATGCGAAAAGGGCATTGTGAATGTTGATCGATTAGGCTCAATTTTTGGAATTGCGTTTTATATAGCTAAATCTATATGCATATTGAATTTCATGCAATTCGGTTCATAACTCACAGAGATGTCAAAAGGGGCTTCCTTATTTTTTGGGCTACATTGCCAATTCACGAACTCCGATCTACAAATTTGATAAAAGAATCCCTGTACTAAATTTTACTGTCATCGGTCCATTCGTTATCGAGATATCGTGCTAACGGACGAACTAGGGAATGCAATACCGGGATCCCGCGGGATTTGCGAGACTGAGGAATTTGTCGACCAAGGGACGACTCTTGTTTACTTTGTTAATGAAACTCATAACGGAGAAGTTATTTTTTAAATAATTGTTAAACTTTTTTCGTTAAAAATGTACCTACTATGATTTTTGAGGCACTTTAGTTCACCTTTTGTGCTTTACAGGTGAGGTTTTTTTGAGCTCTAAGTTAGGCTGAAGGTAATTTTTTGTTAAATATTGTGATAATTAGCGATTTGTTTTAATACAGACCGCACAGAATTGCTTATTTGCCAATTTATTTAAAATTTTGCGGAATCCCGCAAATACCGGGATCCCGCGGGATTAACTTCTAACAATCCCGCAAATACCGGGATGGAGATTTTGCTGCGGGATTGCATTCCCTAGGACGGACAGACACCGCAAAATTATAAACTCGCTAGGGCTCGTTAATAAAGCCATACTTCGCTTGCGATGACTGGTGATCAATCAAACTTGCTTGAATTTCAAACCATCGCCCAAAGTAGCATCGCATCGCATAAAATAAACGGAGGTTTGAATTTATCGCATCGCACAGCATTTCATCGCCCATCGCGCGATAGCCAGCTGTCTGAAAGTATATTAAAACGATCGTACGCCAGTATGGATTTTTTGAAATAACAAGCATTTACCGTACTTATTTTTCAAAACATTAAACCCATATTAAATAACAATTAGGTACCTATAGTAAATAATAGGTATTATTTCATCCTATATAGATATCAGATATTAACTCATTGAGGACATTAGGAATAACCAGCCGCTATGTTTAACAATTTTCTACTAGTTACATACAACCTTTGCAAATGAATAAACAAAGCTACAACTTGTTTGTGAGATTGTCGTACTGGTACTATAAAGTGGAGTTCATTCACTACAAAGAATAAATGATAAACATTTTATCGCAGACGGTGTAACACTATACCTTTAGGTATTACCTATGTTATATAAATAAAAGATTTTTTTTCTCTCTTCTGCTATAGGAACGTTGCAGAAATCTTTCTAACTAAGAATGAACTTTTAATTTTAATGTTTGGGTTTGAAACTGTACTAGAAAGTTAATTTGGATTTAACACACTTGGCGGTGAAATCCAAATTTCGCGCAGCATATTTTTACATGGCGTGATATATCTGGAGTATTTTAATCTGTGCTTTTACACTGCGTTTCACAATTATTGTCAAATTTTAACTTACCTTAAAAACCTGTTATATTCACTTTTGGAGAAATATGAGATACGTCATGATGTATTTCTCTTCGTCATGTTGGTGTTGGATAAATTAATTTTATAACTGGTTTCTTAACGACGATTTTCGCCGCATTATGGTTCCTAAGGCTTAACCTTATACGAAGCTGTTCAATAACTCCCTAAGTGCCCCAGACACGAATCAGATCAATAAACGAATAATCAGTGTGAATTGATGGGGTGGCAAACCCAACATACGACGCACTAACCCGCAGAAACCAGGGGTTGGAACCCATATGAATTATAGGTTATTTTTTAAGGGTTCCGATTCTGGCTTTAGTAATTTTTGTTCCGATTCCAGTATTTTTTTTCAGGTGCTAAAGTAAACAAATATATGATAGGAATACACAAAATTCAAATACAAACATAAACATATTTTTGCCATATTTAGAATACATTTTATCCGAATCTGAAAATTATAGCTTATGACACTGAAATTGCATTCCTCTTTCCTGAAATTGCCCAGTTGTGATTCCTGGAAACAAAGCATTACGAAAAGTTGTTATTTAGTAACTGTGATTCCATGAGGTCGCATCTTGCTCTCCTAATCACCTGTAAAACCTTTTTTCAGATAAGTACATCGCAGTTATGACGAACCATATCCGGAAGTCGCGAACCAATTGTGCCTTTTGGTTTTCCTTTATACAAAAAAATTAACGCGGTATACCTAATTACCAAAATGAATTTTAATGAAGGCAAGAAAATGGAACATCCAGCGTTGATTTACAAATCAAAATCTGTAGACGATGACGGCGACCATAGTCGGCGGAACTGGAGTTCCAGAAGCTTCTGGACAAGATGCAGTCGGCGACTCGAATGGAGAACGGAATTCTAAACGGCAAGCGGTGAGCGGCTACTGATTAATGCTAAAACAAACTTAAAGCGCACAGCGATTTCCCTAAGCGGGAACAGTAAATAGTCGGATTCAATAGCGGTTTGTACGGGAAAGTAATTGCAGGGAAGCGAGATAATATCCCATTTTATAATTATGTAAACGGAAATAACAAAAACGGAGCGGTAGGAATTACCTGTGCAAGGAAAAACAAAAGCTATAGTTATACGGTGCGGTAAAGTTAATGTAAAAGCAAAATTTAAACGGCATGAATACAAAGTAGATTTACGGAAAGCTCAAAATTGCGGTACTTATAAAACGTAGTTTGCAAAAATGCAAAAGGCGGAAAGCAAAAAATGTAAATATTGTTAAACACCAAACGCAAAAAATCCCCTCTTAATAAAGCGTTTACCTTAATATACAGGGTGTTACATGACGGCATGTAAAAAAAATTGGGTGATAGAGGGGCACTTTTTCCAAAAACACCGAGGGTCCAACGTGTTTCGTTTGGAAGCCACCCCCAAAGCAGTAATGAAATTTGGATTTCTTCTTTAATTTTTTTCTCAGCAACCAAGAGTTACAAAGATGGGTGGCACGTCTTTGAATAGGTTTTCGGGTATGCTCTATCCGATTTTGAAAAGCAATTTTCAAAATTCCTATCACGAAAGGGCGCACCCCTGCTCGGGGGTGCGAAAAAAATTCTGATTTCGACGAAATTTGGTATCTGGGGGTTTTTGAACATGAAAATGACGAATCGAGAATTAGTTTTTAAAAATTTGACGAAAAAAGTTCCACTGCAATTCTTGGCCGGACAACAAAAACAAACAAACAAAAGTTATACTCATTTGAAGATTCCGCCTTCGGGTTACAAAGTGTTCCCCGCCTACTAGTGAGTGATCTTATTTCGCATTGAAAATGTCGCAAATAAAAAAACAATTATTTAAGTCTCTAAAAAGCATCTACGCTGACGTATTTTAATGAACTGATGCCCAGCGAGTATTAATGAGAATAGACAGTGTCTTTGACATCAATCCCTTGAGACAAGGAAGTTGCATCCACGACAATCGCCTCCACATTTTACCACAGCAAAGCGTGGCCCAACTGTGACCACACCAATTACTTTGTGTATGTTTGCTTGACAAGATAGCGTTTTGGAGGTTCAACATATCTGATTCAAGAAAGTGTACAGTAAATTCCAGATTATCCGCATAATTGAGTGGTGCCGATATCCAGATTTCACAGATAAGTTGCAAAATTGCTGATAGCAGTTAAACAATGGCTGAAGGTACTCAAAAACCGCGGATAATCGAGTGTACTTCCAATTTAGGTATAATAAAAAATCACATTTTCTTATCTTTTTAATCGATGGTAGTACTAAATCCTGATTTGTGTATAACCTGAATATATACAAGGGAGCACCTTTAAGATAAAATACAACATAATCGCATGGGGAGGTCATGGTTTTTTTTTGTACAAGCAAAGTCTCTCAGGTACGTTCACATTGACACCCTGTCACGATAAGTATCATGTTTAAATCAAAATGATGATTAGAAAAGTAGCTGAAATATCTTACATCTTGATTGGAACAGTTTCTGCTTAAAAAATTATGTTTGTACTTAAGTCTACAACACTATAACTCGCATGCACAAAAAAAATTGAATCGCAACTCGTTTTCAAATTATAATATACAAAAATTGTAAAATAAGTTAACAATTACAAGGTTCTATCACAGACACAAATTGAACATCACTTAACTAATAGTCCAGATCATCTGGCGGTCTTACATACAATTCTCCAAACTTCGACATATATTTCCTTACAAATTCTTTTGCTTTTGATTTCACACTTTCTGTACACGTTAAGTCTTCTAAATTCTGGCAGTGCTTTAATTCCTTTATCATTACGAAATGAGTTAGCTGAAAAAAAAAACAAACACGTAGTGTGCAAAGCAAAATTTCGATTAACACATTCAGTGCCATTAAAACACACATATGACGTCTGTTTATCAAATAACATAATGTTGCCCATTTCCAATTATTTACTCTCTCACTCTGCAATCAGACACAGATCAAAAAGACAATAGTGACGATTGTTACATTAATTCCCTACGTGAAAAATGTGTGAATTTAAATAACCTTCTCCAGAGTAATACCAAAATCCATCACAATCTGCATTACTATTCCCCTATTTAAAGCAGGATGTTGACAAAGTTTTGGCCCTTAAAGATTAGCCAATTTTTATTAAGGACCGTTTGTGAATGGATACTAATTTGCAAAATAAGATTTTGTTTTTCAAATATTTTGGAAATTAGCAAGTTGGTCCCTTACGGCCAGTTGCACAAAAAAATAATCCAGGAGCATTGTTTAATCCGGTATTAAGACATTTGATTGGCTTTATACTGCAGTATGCAACCAATCAAATGTCACAATTCTTGTTTAAACCCAGATTTGGCAAATAATGTAGGATTTTGATTATAATTCGCTTTCCTGCAACCGGCCGTACAAAGTATTAATAATATGAGCACACTATGCAATACCTTTTATTTAATTGATCCTGCTTGTAACATACCTTTCTAGCAAGATGTTTGAAATCTTCTGTATTCGTGATTTTTCCCTCCTTACAGTCAGCCTTCCTATAGGGATTTAATATTCCGACCATGACACCGGCCATAATTGATGTAAATGATTCTTTAATTTTCCTAGCAGATTCAGAATTTAAATCCATAGCTTCTTTTAATTGGATTTTTGTCAACGTTTTGTGTTTACGTGACGATTTAGGCGTCTTAATTGTAACTTTTACCCGCTTTTTAGTTTGTTCTGCCGACGTCTCTTTTTGCCGTTTCAATCTCTCTTTATTTTCCTTATATTTTCTCAAATTCTCTTTCGCCAATACCTTATCCTCTTCGGTGCGCGGCTGTAAAATACAATTGAGTGAATTAACAACTGCGAGAAAACTTACGCTTATTATATGCACTTCGGTTACCAAACCTAACCGTTTTCGTTTGGACGCCGATTCTCGGTTTGTTGAGCATTCACGTTTCAACACGTTAAACTCCTCTTGCAGTCTTTCGTCGAGGGAAGTCACGCTCGTATCAAGCATCTCCTCCTCTTCATTCGTAATAGTGCAAGAGTCGTTCGGGCTTAATTCAATTTGTGGACTGCATTTATCGAGTGAATCCAAGAGTGAATGTTTTTTACGCACACTCGCCGCTAATTTTGACTCTTCTAAATCGTCTTCGTCACTATCCTCCGATGATGAATCCGAGCTTAGACTGCTAGTTTCTGAACTGGATGACGATTCTGTAGCTACAATACGTTTTTTGTCGAAATATAAGTTAAACAATTATTTCTGCTTACATTCCTCATCCAGTTCAAGATGTGGAGGAATTTCTGGTGGTTCCCACTGGGATATGCGTATTTTTATGTGATAATAGTAGGGACGACCATATTTATCTTTCGCGCATTTCCATTTGGGTGGTAATTTAGCTGGTGGGGGAATAGGTCCCGCAAATTTTACCTAAAAAAATTAGTTTTGAACATTCCTTCGTGCTTTAATGTTGAACTTTAAATGACATTCTGAGCTTTTCTCTGTTCTGCTAGAGCTTACCACATTTTTTCAGAGTTTTTTATGCTGGTATGGTTCTAGAGGGTGCACATAAGGTTTTTGGCAGCATTAGGAAAGATTTAAGGTCCTTGAAATGCTATAGAATTGTTTGGAAAGTGCAAGAAGGTTTGGAAAGCCTCACAAACGCTTCCACGGAAATCAAAGGACCTTTAGTGCCCCCCGGAGCTGCTTGAACCTTACAGTACAAGAGCCTTCGAATAGTATTTCCTAATTTTAAAGTCTTTAGGACTACACGCTCTAGAAAGAACCTAAAAATTCCATACAGGACTCTCACTAAACCATTTTATACAAGTTTCTGTTCATTTTAGATAAGAGTGCTCGAAGTCTTTCAGGACTTCTATGACGTTTACAAAGCACCTTTTGTGGAAACTATTTGCACCTTTTTTTCGCATTTTGTAACACCTCAATTCGACATTCATTAAATGTTTTTTAATATTTCCAATCTGTTGCCAAAAATATTTCAGTTTTTTGAGAACGCGCCATTTAAAATTAATCTCAAATCCTTTAAAATCCATAAAATGCATGTTTTAATGACCTCTACCCTACCCTCTCATTATTTTACAAATAAGGAAAATACATACAACATATATTCCCAAAAAGTACAATTAAAATTTCCTTTTCCTTTTAAATGATTTTTAGTTAATCATATTTAAATGTTGCTGAGAGGTGACCGCCCGCCCCCCATTCAGATATTTGAGGATGGACATGAATCATGATGAGGGCATTAATACCACCTTTCAATATCATTTAAATCGTTGCGTGAAATGTACTACTGTTGAGTAACGGCATAATTTTGTTTTCGAGAATGGATGATTTTTATGGAGAGGGGGTATTATGTTGCTATCATTTGAACCAAATGCGCATATTTGAGTTACTGAATTATTGATTTTTAGTGCATTTATTAAGAATTTTAAAAAATGTGCTGTTTGCGTTTTGTTCGGACCCACTTTCTATGGTTTTGAACTAGTGGTGCAAAGTAAAACTTTTAAACATGGAGGGGAGGGGCTAGGGGTGAACCACCCTTCCTGGTATTCAAATGAAAGGTCTCATCAAATAGAATTGGTTCCTACAAACTAAAACTTTCCTGCACAACTCCTATTCGAGAACAGTGGGTGATGGGGGAGGGGAGTAGAAATAGAGTTTATCTTTGGTTTTATTCTTCATTCTTCATGGTACTGACTTCTAATAACTATCCCTTTCCTCCAAGACCTATTATCGGGATCGCTAATAATTCATTACCATTTTGTAATTGGGGGAGGGGGGGGACTAAAAAGAGGTATTCAAATAAAGTCTCAACAGCAGAAATTAATTCCTACCTACTCTCCAACATCTTTTCAAGATAAGTTATCATTCCTCATATTTCAAGAACAGTGTTGGACGAGTCAGACAAAGGCAAAAAGGGGTGCCATCTATCGATGATCTCAAAACTAAGTGTGAATATATCGCGAATGGAATGTCGGGAGAGCGTTCACACAAAGGGCTATTGAAACATTTGGTCAAAGCATATCTATTGAAGTCCAAACATTTATTATTTATTTATTAACTGCAAGTGCGAATATGTTGAGAATGAATTTTCAGAGGAGGATACCGACAAAGAGAAAATAGAACGTCTGGGCGACACATCGATTGCTAACATCAGGACAACTATTTTGATATCAAGAGTGTCGGAGGAGGGTATTCACAGAAGGAAAATGGAACATCTAGACGAAATATATGTATTAGTAGTGTCAAAACGTATATCTTGAGAATGCAGTGCCAAAGATACAAAGAAAAATCTGGACAAGGCGTACCTGTGTGCGTAGGTGTGAATATATCAACCACAGTGTGTTGGTAGAGATCACGTACAGGCCCACTTTTGCTCAAATAAGTCGTATTAATTTTGAAGTATTTTTTAAAATTTAATTTGCGAATGCGCAACCACTTTTTGGTGGGGCTAGCAGTTATGTGAATATTAATGAGGCACTGAATAATTAATTTTCGAACTGAGTATTACATTTTGTTTTAGAAATAGTATCAATTTTAGATTTTTTATTGTTTTGGCCAGATAATCTAATGTCTTGCATGTAAATACCAAGAATGCAGACCACCAGATTACCACCAAATTTTTATATGAAGCAACCTTATAGAATTTGAAAAATCACACCTATTGGCAATATTAAATCTCAAAAAAATGGCTACCTTTACGCTAATGTATCAAAGCATAAAATTACACTTATATGTGTGTAAGTGCAAGGCAATTCTTACCTGTATCTCTTTTTCTGGCTGTTTTTCCGAATTAAAAACGTGCTGTGAAATATTAGGTGGCGGAATATTGGTTGGCTGCATCGACAGGCTTTGCGATTGTAAATTTGATATGGGAGTAACATTCGTCGGTGGAGGAATGTTTGTTTGCAAAGTTATATTTTCTGGAAGAGAAATGCTCGTCGCTTGAGGAATTATTCGAGGAAGAGACGGTGGCGGTATGTTTGTAGGTATATTGAGAGTGGGGACATTCGGTATGGCTGGCATTGTATGAGGAATTAATGGACGATGGATGTTTTGTTGCATGTGCGAGATGTTAGGGGGCGGCACGGACATGTTGGAGATAGCTGGCATTGGTGGGGGAATGCTGGTGATTTGCGGATTTATCATAGGATTCGACATTGTGACTGATGGCATTGGTAAATTGGGGAGGGACACTGAGATATTTGGGACTGTCCCAGGCATTGAATAAGAATAATTTAAGCCAATGTTAAATCCGGGTGTAAGGTTTGAGGTTATAATAGGATTGGCATTTAAATGTACGGGATAGTTCTGCCACTGTCCGTTTTGTTGGTTCCATATCATTTGAAAGTTTCTGGAAGGTTCATATTGCGAAGAGTACATTGAATCGTTGCCTACAGACATGTATGGGATATCATGTTGCCTCCATATCTCTCGTTTATATCTCCGCTCTTCTTCTTGTTCAACTTGCATAGCAAATAACTTTCGTCTTTCGTGTTTATTAATCCTACTATGCATACCATGATACGAATCTTCGTGTTTTTGACTCTTTCTGCTTTTCCTCTTTTGTTCCCTGAACTTCTGGCGCCTGTGCCTTTCCTTTTCTTTTTCTCTCTCCCTTTCCCTTTCAGAATGATGCTCGGAGTCCCCTTTGTAGCCTTTATCAGCTTCTCTTTCATGTTCTTTCATTTTTTCAACTCGTTCTTTCTTTGGTATTCTAAAAACTTCTTTAAGAACAGACCACGTTTTTAGTAGTTCTAAAGCAAGTGAAATTATCTCCCCCTCATAGTCTCTTTCATCTTCCTTAGGACGATCTTTTTGCACTTCAGCCACCTTTGTTTCGGAATTAAAAACCATTGTGGAAATATCCATATCTTCTTCGAACATATCAATTATTTCTTGAACCAACTTTACATTATCTTCTTCTACTCTCCAAAGGTTTTCGGAACGTATATTTTCTATATCCATACCTACGGATCTCCTTATCTCATACATGTCTACAGGTCTTTTGAACACCATCTTCTCATCCTCTTCTAACTTGTCTTCTTCTTTTATCACCTCATCATTTTTCCATGTTTCTGTGGGATCACTCTGAATAGTGATCTCAGCTTTTGGCTCACATATTGGACATATTGTCTAACATGGGTGAATTACTTTCGGAATCGAATTCTTTGGGTATATTGACTAATTTTTTTGACCATAATTCGACAGTAGGTAGAACCTTACTGTCTTGGAGCATTGTTTTGTCGGGAATTGGAAGCGTAGCTAATGTTTGCAGGATGCCCAGCCTGTGTAACATTTTCCATTTTTTAGTAGCGTAGCACAGTTATAGATTACCATACCTTAAAGCCTCTTGTTT